TGAGAGCACATTTATCTGAGTATAGCATACCTAGGGACCTAACATTGGAATATCAGATATATAAATGTTGTAGAGAGCGGAGGAAAGTGGCGATTTTGCTAGACTTATTATACAAACTTAAGAATTAAAAAGAACCACAGCTTGTTAATACATGTATGGATAGTAATTTACATTATCTACATTTATATATATTTATCTATATATGTTTATTATTATAATATATTTATATATCTTCTATATTATCTATATTTATACTAGTACTGAAGTGTGAATGACTTATTTATTTTCTTTGTATTTGATGAAAATGAACTTTGATTATGTTGTGAATTTAGTCAAGGCCTATTTTTTTATAGCTCTTGTTGAAAAAGATCTGATGCAAACATCTCGACGCTTTATTTCAATCATCTCGCTGCTTTATTTCAAACATCTGGTTACTTTATCTTACATTTAAAAATTGTTTAATAAGACAATAGTGTGTCCAGATAATGAAAAGACATCTAATAAATACATTAATTTTGGTAAACTGGTTGCAGAGCTAAACCAAAAACTTTAATAAATCTTTTGTCTTAACTTGTCTCTTCAATCGTGACTTTGAAGTTCTAATCTTACAACTTTCAAGCGTTTATAGCACATTCACTCATCACATTTATTACAGCCTATACTAACAATAAGAAGCCTAATTGTTAACATTGAGCAGCAACTTTTATATATGCCTAGCTAGTATACTTAGCTAGGTAACAGCTAAAGAAGTGCTGTTAACTGGCTTTTTGACTTTTGGTTATGGTAGTGTTTATATTTGCGATATATAAATTTACTTCATAATTGCCATAAACTAAGTTTAGTAGAGCATTTAGATTTTTCAGCCCCTTAAATATTTTTTTTAATCGAATTTTGTATAGTTTAAATAATTTTCCTTGATCTAAAAACTTTTCGTTTGCTATTGTTTTTTGAAAAACCCACATATATTTTAAATTGGCTATAAAATAGAACACATAAGCTTTTTCATTATCGAACTAAAAGCTTTGAAAACTGTTAATACTCTAAGACAGTTGATATTAACTTATAAAAGTAATAAACTTTTACACACTTTCCTTTAAAAAATCCACATATTTGCGTAATAAATTTTACCCTAAAAGTGTGGAAAAGTTTTCATTACTTCATATAACATAGTTTATTTAAATCTTTAATGTCTTAATAAAGCTTTTGTGATATTTTAATAGCATTTAAAGAAATATTTTCAAAATAAAATTCTCAACGTTAACAGTAAAAATAGAAAGTGAAACAGCAAATTTCTCCACATTCTTTAATTTCATTTAAAACTTTCTCCGAACAAAACCAAATATTTCAAAACAAACTTTCAAAGACTCGAAGTAATTTGGGAAATTTGCGGAATTTGAGCAAAAATTACTGAGAAATACTCTGTGATAGATGCACTGGGAAGTTGAAATAAACTACCACAATTTAGTGCAGTTACTGCAGAGTTGAAAAAGGATATATAAGTATATAAAATAATACAGAAAAATTAATATTTATGTAAATATTACTTTAGTGCAGACTCGTATGATTGATAATGTTTCAAAACAGAGATTAGATTTCAAAGAAACCACATGTGCTCTTTTGCGTGAAATAATGTAATAAATGTCACATGAGAAAGTAATTGAAAAAGAAAGTAGAAGGATATCAAAATATAAATAGATATTTAAATTATAAAATGCACATATCAAAAAAAATGTATATCATATTGAAAGTGTTAAAATATAACAAAATCTAGGGAAGTTATAATAGATTGACTTCTTCATACTCGTAAAAGCCTGTCTGAGATACCTTGAACAGATATACTTGTATGCATAATAGATACTTTTTTAAAAATATATAAAACACAAAAAGGCTATGAGATATCATTTCTATTTTCCGTTTTCATTACAGCAAAATTTAAAATAGAATTTCAAGTAACGAAAAAAAAATTGATTGATAACAATTTAAAAAAAAAACCTTGAGAAATCACAGAAAATAATAAAATAACTGAGAGTAATTTGTACAGTATAATACCGTTCTCAAATCGTGTAATATTTTTTTTTAATCAGTGGAAAATTTGCTTACACACTTAAAACTCACCGATCTGTAAGTGGCGTAATTACTAAACGATCCGTACAACCCAAATATTCATTTTGGTACGTAAATGTTACATCTGTCACTGATATCCAAGTTTTGTCTAAATCTTCCTTAAAATAAAATCGACATTGCTTTAACCACTCAAAATCATTCGCCGACTTTATGTTCATGCGGCACTGAAAATAATTTTTAAAATTTCACACTTTTTCATATACACATATAAATTTCAATAAAACCTATTTCTATATATAACCTAAAACTCAAAAGTGCCAACTAACTGAAACTGCCTTACATATTATTCTTTTTACATTATTATTTCTTCAAGCCATATTATTCGCTTTTCTTTACAAATTAATCTATCGCTCCTAGTTTATTTCTCACATTATTCCAATAATAATTTTTAACTATCTTACTCACTTACTCATTTCGTTTCCCACACTTCGTCATTGGTACGCCCACTTATTTCTTAAATTTCCTTTTATATTCGTATCCCTTAGTTAGTTGTGGTGGAGGGAGGACGAATCCTCCCCAATTAGCTTAAAAACCCGTTTTGAATCTACAAAAAAACCTCGTAATAGTGGGTAGTAGATAGAGGGTCAAGCTAGAACCAGCCAGAGGCATTAACAAAGGTAAGAATCTGTCTAATGCTAATGTTGGAGATATCTCTAAATGAGTTGAAGAAGAGGGTCCCCAGAATCTTAAACGTAGTTCTGGCCAGACCTGGACAAAAACACATCAGGTGTTCTGGTGTCATTTCTTCAAGGACTGGTAGACACGCACTGCAAGAAGTACCACAGGATATCTAGATACCTTAGATTTGTTTCTACAAATTTTCTTATCCCTTGCTTCCTCTCCTTTTTTTACTATAACTTCATTGTAATATTTATAACTCATTTTACACCATTTTTATTTCTTTTCACAATTCATCTTTGATATTCTTAAATGTTAAATTTTAGTTTTTCTCTTTGTCTTCCCTATTTTCTTTTTCTTTTTTATTAAGTTTTACACGCAATACTTTCAAATCTTGTATGTCTAGTTCAGGTATGAAAGTAAAGCTTTTTGTGACTCAGAGTCTCTATTTTTTTTGTTTTAGTCTCATTACTTAATTGTCTCTCATTTAAATCATATCTCTAAGCTTCTCTATCTTTCCCCTGCTCACTATAAAGCATTATTTCGCTTTAACTTACTCATAATCCCCTTTTATTATATTTACCAAAATATCAAATATGTCCCGTTGATGTACGTGTATCGTTATTAACGTCTCGAAACTGGTGCGTTCCATTTTCGTCAAATTACGCGTTGTTTGATCTATAAGTGTATTAAGCATTTCTAAAAATTTATTATTTGTCTCTGACATGACTTTTCTCTCAACTCTGGCCTGCATCAGTGCCATTTCCGCGTCGCGTGTCCAAATCATTTGTATGCCAAGTAAACCAATTTGGGCTGGCACTTTCTCTAAAAAGCCCAACAAAGTAAAATTTGGATCATTAATAGTCGCATAAGCGGTTCTAATAATCGAGTGTAATGACTGCTGTGCTGTGACCAGTAATTGAGTAAGCCATGTCTCAACAGAACCCTCCGCACGTATAGCGCGATCAAGTTGTATAGTTTCGCCCTCGCTTGAAATAATTGCCATCATCTTATTATATTCAATATCGTGAAATTTCACTTTACGAGTATTATCAAAAATGGAGAGCAAATGATTTTGTATGGTGTGTGAGTCTGATGCTTGACCCAATATTTCCAATAGTGCTGGATCCGATACAAAAAAGAAACGTGGAAACATCATACGTTTGCGCTCCAAATATCCACTTAACGATTTTTGACAAATTTCAAGTTGCTCCTGTAGATGTGGTAATAATTGTTTAAGTAAATCATCGCCGACACAACATGCCACGACGCCTGGCGTCTCATGTGCACGTTGCATTATTTTTTGCCAAGATTTATCAATTTTAGAGAAACGTTTGGCTTCTTTCGGTAATTGTTTAGCTATATCACCGCCTACAAATACAGCCTCTAAATATACCCACATATTTTGCACAAGCAACCAACGTTCAAGTATCTCATTCGAGTTAGATAAATCAAAGACCCATTGTTGGATTTGTTTGCGAAATGGTGCATTATAACGATTTGACAGCAATGAACCCAAAACCATTAAACTATCTTCCAATTGACCTATAGTTTCAGCAGTTGTATCACCTCGTAACAATAGTTCGCCACGATTATTGAAACTCATAAACTGCAGCTCATGTACTGACCATTCATTAGTCACTTGTTTTAGCTTAGCTTCAATATCTTTCTCTTTCATAGCACTTATGCATATATCCTCAATATCCTCCTTGTGCTTAAGTAGTGGAGCTTCAAGTATATTCTTTAACGAGAATCCTTCAGAATCAAATTCAAATATATACTGTGTAACATCCATAATCCGCTGCCAATGCCGTGGTTTCATTGCTTTGTTCGCCATAAGCTCAAGCAATGGGCACATGTCGTTGAAATCATCAATAGTTTTCTTAAGCGCGTGGAAAGCAGGCCACTCTTTCAAACCTTTAGGCAGTTTTCTACAACGATTTTGGAACTCCATTAGTTCATTGTTAATCTCTTCAATATCAACTTCATTCCAAGGTATGTCATAGTAACTGCTAACACGATCAATAACATCATTATAGAGTTTATATAATTTTTGTAATAGATTAAGTTCTTTGCGTATTTGACCGAGTTCAGGATAATCTGTTTGCGGTAAGCCGAATAATTCCTCACCACTCTGATAGGCTTGCAGACGGCGCCACATACCCTCAAACCGATTTTGAAATAGTATTAGACGATCGGAAGCTTCACGTGGTGTTAGACCCGCCTGCATTGGACCAGCTGTACGATATTCATTAACATAATCAATCTTATCTTGTTTAAATTTAGAAAGATTATTCTTCAAATCATCCTGGAAAGATGGCTGCATTTCAAGCAATTTAACTTGAGCTTGTAGCGCACATGACAACAGATTTTGAAAAGTTGCACGTAAATTATCTACCAAATCGAACTGTTCACGTTCAACTTGTATATCATATCGGGTAAGCACATTAAAAGCTTCCTATGGTAACATCAACAGAGATATTAATAACTTATTATTTGCATAAATTTATGTACTTACTTCAATAGGGTCTATACGTAATTCCATATCAACTTCTTGTTCTCTTATCTTACTTAGAGTTTCCATAATCATGCGCACGTCGTCCAAGTCACGTATTGGACGATCTAGTTTACGATCCATTTCATTTATGACAGCATACACATAGTCCATTTCTTTCTTATATTTCTTCTTCATGGCCTGACCAATTTTATGTGTACATGCTTTATATGTAATAGAAACAAGAGTGTAGATATAAAATAACTGCAGATTAATGGCAATGTTAAGAGGTGCAAAAGTGCTAAACAAATTAAGTGCTTTAAATATTATATAGTTGCACTTAAGAATCTATAACTTAAAATTAAAAATATCTATCACTAGGACTACAGAAATTTGGATAATAAAATTATAATTAATAATATATTATATTATAATGTTTTAATAATTTATGGAAATTATCTACGAGTATCATGATATATAAAAATTTATAAGCAGTTAGTTATAAGCAGAAGTTGCTCTGCAAATGATGTGTTGGAAAATATATGTGTAACTAGAAAAAAATAGATTAGTACAGTCAAACTTCCATAACTCGAACTTCTATAACTTGAATTTTCTACAACTCAAACTAAATAGAGTACAACAGGCTTTAGAGAGCAAATAACATATAATTGCAAAAAATTCTGTAACTCGAAGTCTCCATAAATCGAACCTTTTCTTTGCAAAATGGTACTTCGCATTATAGTAGTTTAACTTTACATAACTTTAACATCATAGGTCTCTGCGAATGTATTTCAGAGACGCTTCAAAAAAGTGTGGATCTATCTACAGGAAATTTTCTATATTTTCGAGAAAAACTTTCTACAGTAAAGTACAGTATCAAAAAGACTTTTGTTTTATTAAAAATTTTGGTGCATAACTATTCAACTGAGTTTCATAACAATTGGTTGCAGAAACATGTTTAGTGCACTTCATAAATTTACTAAATCTTTTAAATTTTAAAGATATTTGAAATTATCTTTATTTATCAACTACTCAAAACCAAGAGAATGCAAAAAAATAATATTCTTTATCTACATTAAACATTAAGTGAATAATTGGCAATAAAGTGAACTCATCGATAAAATTGAATTGGAAATGTCTGTAAATTATTTTAACACTAAATAAACGTTATTTACACTCCAAATTAATAATTTACAAAAGATTACACAAAGTCATGCAATTCAAAAATACGAGTATTTCAAAAAACAAACAATCGGATTATTCATGCTTTAGTTAAGTACAATGAACCAGATACCAGATATTTACATAGACTGGCAGAGTGCGCAGATGCTTACATTTTATTTCGATAGCCAAACCATATTTGAGACGTTCATTGGAAACAGCTATGCATTGTCCAAACACCTCCATGTCAGGTTCTATTAATAAATTAGCATCCAAATCAGATAAGGAACGTAAAGTGGTCTCAAATTCTTGCAAGCCAAATTCCATAAGCTGACGAGTGGTTCTTTCATTTTTCCACAGGAAGTGATATGGTTTCCAACGTTTTACATATGTTTGTATATCAGGTTTTATATTTTTGATACAATTCGAGAGTTGATTAAGGGTTTTTGCGACTTCCTTATTATCCATTATAGCAGAATAAAATGACTTCAACATGTGCGGCATTTGCGGACGTTCTTCTGAGGCTAAGCAATATAATTTCCGCCTTCGTGACCGAGCGTTATTTTCATTACTGCGGTTACGACCAACGCGAGGTTGAGGCGTAATGGAAACTTGCTGGTAATTGAAAATTTTATAATTAAGTTAAATATCACTAGAATTATACTTTACAAATAAATTAAAAATAAAAATATTATCTAGATTTAAGTCATATCTGCAATATGTATAGGAGAATTGTAGAAAACTGTGGTTTGTTTAAAAAGGTCATATTTCCATATTTCCCCATATGTACCATATTCGACCAATTTTATTTAATTTAATTTAAATAATTAATTAAATTTAATTGTCATTAAATAGAATTACTATGAAGTTGTGTGTTTTATCTGTCATAATAGAACCTGAAATTTTTTGTGAGTATATTTATAGCATGTTATTCGATATATCGAACATATACTTCTTGCAAAATCATGGCTTGATGCAAAAGACCTAAAGAAATCCAAACAAGTCAATCGGTTCAATCGCTATATTATATGTAGATTGTTATCACTGACGTCTTAACTTTACATGCAGCTACTATCTTATAAAGATTGAACTGAAAGATAATAATACCTGCAGATTCTGTAAAACGCAAAATGAAATATTCACACATTTTATATGCTCTCCTCCGATTATCACATAATGGATCCAATATTTCTATCTAGTTCTGATTGAACCGAATGAGATCGGAAATCTTGAACAAATATATATTGTTGATTCATTAGTAACTTTTATAAAGTTAAAAGACTTTCTTCAAATTTACATTTTATTGTCTTTTTTAAAGAAAACGTCAAGAATTTATTATTTTTTCTTATTTTACTGCAGTAAGTCAAGTATATATTTGAACCTATAAAAGTAGAAACACATGAACCTATAAAAGTAGAAACATAGAAACACATTAAATGAAAATTTGAAGAGCCGTTAAAACTTACAAGTGTTCCGACTTTTTTAATAGAAAGAAAAAAATAAAATCTTTATACACAACACCTAAAAGTCTTATAATGATCTATGGACTTCAAATAGATCAATTTCTATATAGTTCAATTTGTACTAAAAAAATCTATGATCGCAAAAAGTGGAAGATATGTCTATATTAGGTTTCGAGCGAAATTATAAATATTTCGAGCGAAATTATAAATATTTCTTAATATGCACCATTATCAATCATAATCAATGTCCATATAAATAGTAGCAATATGTATTAAGTTATTCAAGATCATTATGGTACAAAAGAATACCTCAAAATAAAATGCTTTAATCTGACTATATCAAATGATCTATTATTAATATTTAGACAAAAGTAATTTACTAAAACGCATTATAAATATTATTATTCTTATAATAAAATATGTTGAATTTTTAATAAAACATTGCTATTTCAAAATTGCCATCTAGGTCCACCTAAAAAAATGGAAAATCTAATATCAGAACATAGTTTTATATTAGTAATTATTTCATGGATATAAACACAAACCTTCTTATTCAATATTTCAACTGCATAAAATCACCTGTTTAACCTGCAATTGTGGTATTAACGAACTTTACATTAAAGTTAAAGCCATAAATTATAGAATTAATCCGCACTAAATTTAAACCTTGCACTATAATGCTTCTCCATAACTACTTTTAAAATTCAAAGTCTGTTTTATAACATGTATTTTGTCTTTTTTTAACATATGTTATAAAACAGCAGCCGGGAAAACTTTAGACGTAGTCGATTAATATAACCACAATACCAACAAAAACGTTGGTATACAATCTCGAATATCTATATAAAATGAAGCTGATAAAAATCAATTGAGTTAAAGCCCTAACATCTTATTCATTAACCAGCGATTGTAAAATATTTGGCACCCAAATAGAGTGTTTAAAAATTTTTTTATACACAGGTATTACATGTTGAAATGTAATATAAGCATTCTTTAATACATATATTCTATTGATAAGTTTGGACTTACCGGATTTTCTTTACCACTAGTCCACTGTGCTACACCTTTGGCAATGCTCGTTATAGTTTTACCCGCAGTTATAAGTATATCTTGAAGTTCATCCAAATTGGGTCTAATAACAACGTTCGGTATACGAAGATGTGCAGATAATGCAAAAATCGGTTTCTTGGGAGTCAAATCGTTCTCATCTGAGATAAAGCGGCGACGAATCGTATCCAATGCAGCTCTTATTACTTTAATGAGCACATCAATCACTTTACGACTGTAATAGCGGCGCATTTCAACAACTGCATTACAGACCATGTCCTGAAATATGTTTGAGAAAGTAGAATATATATTAAAACTAATATTAAAAGTCAATTTTCTTCAAAGCGTGTGCCAACCTGCATTCCCTTTGGCAGACTTTCAGTTGTGGATAAAAGTGTCAGTGGGTTTTCAAAGCAAGACCACAAAATGCTCCAGTCCTGTTGCTGGTTGGTGTTGCCACCACCACTACCAGCGCCACCACCACTACCACCACCAGTGGCACCATTAGTCGCTGCAGCAGCTGCACTTGTGCCAGCGCGTGCACTTTCTTCACCTTTTCTTGCAGAAGTTTGTTGTTCTTTCGGCGAAGCTGTAATAACATTTGTGAATAATTAACTTACTTGCAGTTTATGTTACTAATAAAATCTACACTAACTACAAGCAATTACCATCAAACAAGGTAACAATATCATCACCAGCGATTTCCTTGAATTTTTCCGTTGCCTTATCGACCAAATTCAGAACTTCTTCAACGGCTTCAGACACCATTTGGCTCTTGCGATTTAATTCGATTGCCGCTTGTCTATGATAACAAAATGTAAATAATGAAAATATTTGCGTAGTGCAAAGTGTATCGTAAAGTGATGAAAGCAAAAACTCTCAAGTCCAAAAATATTTAATAGAATTCGCCAATTTATTTTGAAAAAACGTTGAAGTTAAAATAATAAATATTAAAAGGATAAATGGCAGCAGACAACGATCAATGTAGATAAATTGAGGAAATTTATTTTCAACTGCAGTTGACTACAAAGTGAATTCCCTGACAACAACTATTACCCTCTCTGCTCCTACCAGAATTCATTTCGCCTTCAGTTTGGCGTTTTATGAAGTTTTTTGCCTCCAGTAAACATTAAACGGAAGATAGCTTTTAAAGCAATTAGCAAATTCCACAAGTTGTGAAAGCAGCTGTTTTCTCCATTGCGGATGTACATGTCACTTGTCCATGCTAATTGCTTTGAAGAGCCACTTATTAGTTACGTTTCATTATGGATAGCGAGCTTTGTTGACAGGCAGTGCAAAACGACTTGATAAGAGGTATATTAAGAAGCTCGATTATCTAGTTAATTCAAAAGAAATTCCTTTAAATGCGAAACCAGTAAATTCATTTTTTATTTTTTGAGTTGCCAAAGAAAATAAATATTTGAGAAAACAATAATATTTCCATGAAATTAAACCATGTCATTAAGAAATAACTTTAATCAATTTCTTATTCATCTGTATATCTCATATATTTTGTTCCTTATATGAACTTTCAAATTCATATTGTATAAATAAATAAATTTTATTATTATAACCGCCAACACTCAGAAAGGAAGAGGCAGTTTAAGAAAAAAAATGAAAAACACAAACTTTGAAAACAATCTACATGTCATAATAATCTAAAGTACAGTATATGAACTAAATGGTATCAGTTCTTAACAATTAACTCCGACGATAAATCTTATTTTATTTTGCCTAGCATTGCCCTGAAGCAGCAAGTTAAGCACAAATAAACGAAGCTATAAATATTTTCAAATACAGTAAAATTTGCAAAAATATGTCAAGAAACTATAAGCCTACGTCAATCCTTCCTTCCACTATTAGACACTCACGTCTAAAAAGCTCAAACAGCCCCACCATAAGTTAAATCCTAACTTGCCTTGTTGTTTATCATTATTGTCGTTACTACACTTTTTCTTCTACTCTTTCCACTTCTTCCAGCATATAATCATTCCATATATTCATAGAACATATACCTCTCTATTATTCCCAACTTAATTATATATAAGTTAGGGCCGGTAAAATGACAATTACTTATTATAGTTATAATGGACTTATAATGGTAGTCCATTGTAAGATAAATTTAAAATATCATTTTAGTAGTTTTAAGATTTAAATACTTATTGGTAATCTCTACCAAGAAGATTCAATAAACATTTTTAATATATAAAAAAAAGCTTCCTTACACCGAAAATAGAAAATCGTGTCCAATTTAACATATTCAATAAATAACAGCCATGATGATTTAAATCAGTACCGCTCAATCCAAGATAACACAACTGCGGGCAAGA